TGTCTTTATCTAATTCTAAGGTTTTATTGAATTATTGTGCTTCCAAGAATATTGAGAAAAAGACTTACTTGCTCAATAAACATTTCTTTGGTGATGTGGCCAAGGTATCAAAAATATTTATATGCATCCTTGCATTACTTAGAAGCACAAAGGAAGTTCAAATTCCACATTTTTAGCCAATAAGATTGATGTCTGACAAAGAAACCGTTAAATTACTATATATACTGCCTGGAATTTGTTATCATTTGTATAGCAAACAATCAAACAAATATAAACATAATTTTGTGTATGTTTCATTTTATAGCACAGAAACTCGTTTTAAAAAGACTCCACTTGTAGAAAAGCAGATGTACTTCCCTCTTCAGAATTATCCAGTGAACAACATGGTAACAGGTATTTAAAATAAAATTGAGTAGACCCTGATAAGGAAGAAATAAGGAAATATGATGTAGAATAAAACTGTTAATATATTTCAAATGCCTAGCAAGTAGGGGGTTCTTTATTATACATGATAATGGAGGGGGCATCATTTCCATAATAAATAAATTGAACTCTAGAATTGACCCAGTGACAAGCTCCATCCTAGTGGCTTAGTGAATTATGAGTTGGGCTGCTTACTGCAAGGTCAGCAGTTTGAAACCACCAGCTACTCTACAGGGAGACAAATGAGGTTTTCTGCTTTCATGAAGATTTACAGCCTCAGAAACCAACAGGAGCAGTTCTCTTCTGCCCTTGCGGTCATTATGAGCTGAAATTGATTTAATAGCAGTGAGTTTGGTTTTATAGGTAAGTGAACACATGTCCCTTTTTGCTTGAGATGGTCTCAGTTATGTCTATTATCTTGGTGCCAATTTTCACTCTGTAGTGCCCCAAGATGGAAGATAAATTATATAGACAACCCCAATGATAGTCTCCTTTGAGAATCTGATGAAACATAGGTCCTTTTTCCAGGACACAAAAAGCACAAACAAACTGTATAATGTGAAAAGCTCATAGGTGCTCAGAGCCCATTTGTGGATTACCCACATGTCCATTGGCGCTTGTTTGGGTTTCCCACCTAGTGCCCTACACAAAGAGAAGAAAGGTAACTAAGACTGACACTGAGAGGCTGAAGCCAAGAGAACCAGTTGAAAAGTGACTGCTGGGATTTGTATAGTGCTGACTGGATACTTCTCTCTAGGTAGTGTTCAGTGGAGCCATTGGAAATGATTTTAAAAGTATAGATTAATTTTTTAAAATATAGACATTGGAAAGCTATAGCTTTTGAACTATTATCTTAAATGATGTCATTTTCCTCTTCATTTAGCTGTGTCAAAATTACCGTTTGTAACTAGTCTACCAATTCTAGCCATTGACTTATTATTATTTTTATTCTTGTTCATTTGAATAATAGAAAATAGCCTATAAAAGAGCATTTTAATAATAATT